TCCCATAACCCTTTCTAAAAATGATCTAATAAAATTGATTAAAGGTGATAATGAAAATTTAAGTTACTGCTGTTGTGCAGCATAAATATTTATCCATTACGGAAACATCAATTTTAACATAGCAAAAATATTAGTAAAAATATTTTCGTAAAAAATGATGTACTTTAAACGGCTCAGTCATGAAGGCGTTTGAAGCAAAGCCAAATTCAATTGCTCGTATAAAGAAATATACATCTATATCTATATGAATCTATATGAATGCATGGTCGCACGGTGACGCTTCGTGCCTTGAAATCCAACATGATCTTAAGCTCAACCCAGACCTCAATTATTTAAAAGAGGGCTCAAAATGACGAGGATGACATATTACTAAGACGGTTAACCAATCACTGTTGAGGACGTCTGATCAGGCACGTTTGTATTTGTTCAATCGGAACCTTACTTTGGTTAATACCGCAGCTATACTGAGTGGATATTAGTTTCAACTGACCTTATAAAATAGGTATCAACAGTCTGAACAAGGCCACGTTGACCAATGTAGAGTCCTGATGACTTATAATTTTATATATTATCTCAATCACCGACGGATTCCGAAAAAATTAACTCCGTGGGACATATATCTGGCAATGACCATGGTCTCTGGCATCTTTATATCACCGTTCATCTCCAAGACCTCTCTTTCCGGATGCATACCTATTATGGTCCCAACTATGGGCAAAAAATCTGGAGACTATGAAAGCAAAAAAGGTTTTGAAGGAAAATTTGTATAAACCAAACTAATTTTTTTCGGTTGAGATTGATATGCCTTGTACAAACCCATGTGACAAACCATCAACTTCAGGGTTACAATAAGATGGAGTTAATAAGGATAATAAATGAAGATAATGGTTAAACCTAGATGTGAACAGGTTAATATTGTAGTAAACGTGGAAACATCCTCAGTTTCACAGGGCAATAGTTCGCGGGAAGAAGCTGTTCAAGTGGAACCGACTTCTCGCCAGTAGAATACGGAGAGAGTGTGGGTGGTTTACTACAATATATCAGGTCATCCCATAAGTTCTGTCCGAATTTTGAATAAAGAAAACAAGTGACCAAATATTACATTTAATTACAGATTCAATCAACAATGTATTTTCCCTGATTATCTATGACTTCCTTCCATCTATTAACAAGCTTACTAATTCCATTACTGTAAAATTCTTTTTTTGGCTTGATTCGAAGAACTCACAAATGTCAGTTTTAACCTCTTCCTGTGTTACAAAAAGCTGTTTCTTCCAAATGATTCTGTAAGCTACGAAACAAATGGTAGTCTGAAGGAGCAAGATCGGGAGAATAAGGTGGATGAGGAATTTTCTCCCAACCAAGTTCTTCGATCTTTTGTGACGTGATTCTTGCTGTGTGGGGTCGCGCATTGTCCTGATGAAACATCACCTCTTTTCGATTCACTAGAGCAGGTCGTTTTTTTTTCCTCAAAGCTTGGTTCAAACGCTCTAATTGTTGACTGTACGAATTCAAAGTGGATTATTCCTTGACGATCCCACCAGATTGAAAGAAGAACCTTTTGCCCATGAAGGTCCCTTCTCGGCTGTGGCTGGGGTCATTCCCCTTTACCAAGCCACTGTCTACGACGCTTAACATTTCGATAAAAGATCCATTTTTCGTCGCCAGTCACAAGTCTATCCAAAAAGGTGAAACAAGTTGGCGCGAATGGAGAGAAGAGCAGATGTCAACTCAGGATTTGAGGTTGTTTTCAGACAATTCATGAGGCACCCATTTTCCAAGTTTAGGAACTTTTCCAAGTTGTTGAAGATGACGATGAACAGTTGTATGGTTTGAACTGAGAACCACTGCCAATTCCTCAACTGATAAAGCAGGATTTTCTTCAAGGGTCTGCTTCAAGAAGCTTTTCATCAAACTCAACTGGACGTCCGGTTCGATCTTCATCTTCAAGGGTGAAATCTCCACCTCTGAATTTTGCAAACCATCTTCTGCAAGTTCTTTCATTCACATTCCTCTCCATAAACTGAGTGAATGTTTCTAGCCGCTTTGGCTGCTGAGTTTCCTTTCTTGAACTCATAAAGCATTATGTGCCTCAAATGATTCTTGGGTACTTCCATGTTAGCAGGGTTTTAATCAAACAAAATTTAATTTTATTGTTCTCTGAAATAAAATTTGATCAGTTTAAATGCATCTAAACATAAAAAAATAATGTTCAGCTCCATTAGACATTATAAAATACTCTTTAAATTTCGTTCATTTTAAAAAAGTTAAAATTCGAACAGAACTTATGGGATGACCTGCGTGCCAAATTATTATCAAGATAACTTTTTTTCTAATATTTCAAAAACCGTCCAATCAATTCACACAAAATTTTCACACAATGTTGACAACACTGCTCTGCGCAATGTAAACAAACTGGCGCCATATTTGTTATCAGCACAGTGATTTGAGCGAGCTACATTATTAGAAAAGTATTTATTTAGTGAAAAGCAGTTTGAAAACATTTAACTATCAAAAAAGAACTCTCAAAAGGTAAATCTACCTAGAAATTTCTAAAACCCTAGGGAGGTGTCATTCAACAGTGAAAAGTTCACCGCCGACCCTACACAAGTACGCAAAAGGGCAGATAAAGGCAAGCCAAGGGTTATTTCACGTCGTCTCATGTCACGACTTAAACGAGAGGCCACGAAGGACTCTGGACTTACCAGTCAAGAGACTTTTCAGTCGCATTGGGGATCCTACTTTGTCTAAAAAGTACTCGGTGTCGGTATCTGAATAAAATAGCAACAACAGTCAAACCTGTATCGAAGCCTCCGTTGACGAGAAATCATATTCAAAATCGATTGAAATGGGCCGAGGACAATATGAAGATTGACTTCTCTAAAGTTTTGTTCACAGATGAAACTCGAGCAACACTTGATGGGCCAGAGAGATGGTGCAAAGCCTGGGTAATGAACGGACAGAATCGCCATCAGCGTTTGAGACGCCAACAAGGCGGTGGAGGCATAATGATCTGGGGTGGTATTATTGGAAAAACATTAGTGGGCCCATGGAGAGTACCAGATGGCGTCGAAATGACTACTGATGCACACATAGCGATTATGAAGGAGCATCTTGAACCGTGGATAAAAAGGCAAAGAGTTGCCTTCAGAAGGGCCATTGTTTTTATGCAAGATAATGCTCCCTCATAATGCTCAATAGACTACTGAATATTTGAAACAGTTAGGCTTCGATGGACCTCAAAAAATAAAGTGGCCAGCAAATTCTCCGGATTTGAACCCAATCGAAAACCTTTGTAGCATCATGAAGCGAAGACTGTACGCCAACGGACGACAATTCAGGCGCAACGCTGAATTGTGGGAAGCAATTCTTGACATATCTCGCGGCATTACAGCAGATGACATCCTACAATTAACAAATTCTATGGATCATCGACATTTTCAAGTAATTTCAAAACAGGGAAAGCACATTTCCTATTAATTTGTTTAAAACTGTGCCTTTGCTTGTATCTGTTATTATTTGTTTGATTATCTTATTTATTAGCTTCTTTTGATCATAAACATTCATGTGCAATATTAATAAACGTTTTGTTTGCTCAATTCTGGGAATTTTACTAAACCTTTCTTTTGGGAATATTACTAAACCTTTCTTTCTGAAATCACCGTGCTGATAACAAATATGGCGCCAGTTTGTTTACATTACGCAGATCAGTACGAAAAAATTTTTTAGTGATTGCGCAAGGTCAGTTTTGAAACATTGTGTGAATTTTTGTGTGAATTGATTGGACAGTTTTTGAAATATTAGAAAAAAAGTTATCTTGATAATAATTTGGCACGCAATGTAATGTATGGATTGGTTTTGTTTGTTTTGATTTATTTTACGTCATATCAAACTTATTGGGTTATTTATTGCCAACAAGACTTTTATTGTTGGTAATACTTTCATTTTTTCAAAAATTTATTGCTGGTAATATTTTTCTTCAAAACTGTTTTAATGGTAATATTTTTTGTTGCGCACACGGTTAAAGTGATTTAAAAAATTTGGTCTTTTATATTTTTGGGTACAACCTCAATTCCTTCAAGAATCAAAAATGTTATTTGGATTGACCTGTTCAAAAATCTCCTGCAAGTTGTCGACCTGGTGACGTTTGGAAGGGATTTCATTTAAATCAATGGATTTCATCAATATATGTTCCACTGTAAATGGCGCATAGCAGCCAACACAGAATGGACTTCTTTTAGCAGATATAAATGTGTTATGTATATGTGGCCTATGTGGAGTCGAGCAAGGGATGCTTTCTCCTTTATTGTTCTCTGAAATAAAATTTGATCAGTTTAAATGCATCTAAACATAAAAATAATGTTCAGCTCCATTAGATATTATAAAATACTCTTTAAATTTCGTTCATTAAAAAAAAAAAAGAAGTAAAATTCGGACAGAATTTATGGGATGACATGATAAGTGTCATGGCGGGTAATAGTCGTGAAGGCGAGACATTGCGTAAGCAAGGAATATAGTTCGTCCGAGCACGTTCCACGAAAGTAGTAATAGTAAAAGTCTCGTCACATCTCGTCTGTGCGTGGGTGTGAGAGAAAGAGAGGTTGGCGGGTAGGGGGGGGGATAATCCTCATACTATTATCCATCTCCAAGACAGAGACGAACATGCAAGGCGTAAGCAGACAAAAATTAAATTTAAATTTAGTTTAAAAATCTTTTCGAGGGTATCTTTTTCAGTGTTATGCAATCCGTTCAAGTATTTTACATAAATAAATAAATATAATAATTGCCAGTCATGTAATTCGCTGTCAGAGCCAGCGATCTTGATGTAAATTAAATTTTATTCATCATTGGCTAGCATGCTTTGATCTCAAACCAGAAATAGAATGATTCATAATCATTGCCCAGGGTCAATATCTTCCCATCAACTCATCTTGCCGAGAGAATTGGCAACATAAAATCCGAGTGTATCTGACTGGCGCCAACAGCGTACTTACACCGAAATGATAGGATTCCTGGCGGTACACTTTGCTCAATATACTGCTGATTCATCCTCCCTCGTAAAAAGAACTGACGTCGGGTGTATAAGCCATGAGAAACTATGTAAATAAAAGTATATTGACAACAGAATATGTCGCCTCAAGGCAACAGCATTAACAGTTGCATTAATTGGTTGATTGATTTGATTTTACGATTTACCAACATTTTTTTGCATTTCAAACCAGAAAATAGATTTTTGATTGTAAGAATATTTTGAAGAAACAAATGGTTTACCTGATACCAGTTAGGGGAGAAGAGGTGTATCTATAAATCTTCTGTGTGAATATGTCCGCAAGTGGATAACTAACTCGACTTCTATCTATCTATCTATCTATCTAACTATCGGTCTATCATTTGAACGCTGTTTCACACACACACATCTGGACACACAATACACAAACACACACACACATTATCTATATACACATATATATATATATATATATATATAAATGTCACACATTATAAAATAGACAAAGTCTGACAATTATTTTAAGAGATATTTTATGTTTATACGTTCTTTTTATAGATACAAATATTTAAGTAAATGCTCTGTTTATAATAAACTATTTATTAATAACATTTACAGGCAGGAATGTCCGAGAAATTTTCATAGAAAATATGCGTCCTCCGACAGAAATCGAACCTGTATCCTATAAGGAACCGTCATATAGCCTGACATGTTCACCGATTTACCCACAGAGGAGCGTTTCGGTTAGGGAGGTCGATTTAACTCTTTTTGAAGTACAATTTTCAATGATTTTCTCTCATACATTCATATCTGCTCAATGCGTATCCAAATGTAAACATATGACGTCACACATTATGAAATGGACAAAATCCGACAATTATTTTTAAGAGATTTTTTTTGTTTATAATGTTCTTTTTTAGTTTATAAATGTTTGTTTTATAAATAGAAAATATTTAAGGCCTGAATATTTTTTATAATTTTCAAGATCCGGTAAATAATATATCGATTTCGTTTTTTATTCATCTATCTATCTATCTATCTATCTTTCTAAATCTATCTATCATCTCATCTATGTTGTAAATTCCCATCCATCTATCTATCTATCTGGTCATCCCAGTCTCATTCAAATCAATCATCATCTATCTATCTATATCTATCTATCCATCTAATATTTATCTATCTATCTATCTATCTATCATGATGTCTATTCATCAATTTTCATTTATCTGTTATCTATCTATCTATCTATCTATCATTTTCTATTATATCTATCTATCTATCTATCCTCATCTATCTATCTATCTATCTATCTATCTTTCAAATCAGGTCTGTTCATTTTTGTTCTATCTATCCATCTATCTATCTATCTATCTATTGTTTTCCAATCCAGGTCTATCATTATCTATCTATCTATTTTTCATCTATCTATCTATCTATCTATCTATCTATCTATCTATCTAGCCAAAAGTTCATTTTCTATCTATCTATTCATCTATCTATCTATCTATCTATCTATCTGTTCAATCCATGTCTGTTCATTTTCATCTATCTATCTATCTATCTATCCATCCATCTATCTAGCCAGGTCTATCTATCTATCCTATCTATCTATCTATTCGATCATTTATTATCTTCATCTGTTCATTATCTATCTATCTATCTATCTATCTATCCATATCTATCTATCTTATCTCTGTTCATTTCATCTATTTATCTATCTATCTATCTATCTATCTATCTTCTATCTATCTATCTATTCATATCTATCTATCTATCTATCTATCTATGTCATCTATTTTCTCTTATTAACTATCTATCTATTTATCTATCTATCTATCTATCTATCTATCTATCTCTATTCTTTATCTGTCTACATCCTCACATCCTTTTGGTTTGTTAATTGAAACAACCACTTTAGTGTCCTTTCTTCCACCGTACCGTCAATCTTAGACGCACTGGAGTGATTAGGTGTAATAGATTTCTATTTTTTCCTGAACTTAAATCATTTGAAGTGGTGTGCAGTAATATGAATCTATTTTCGCTGTGTGTGATGAAATTTGCTTGGTCTTGAAATATCATCCGTGATTGCATTATATTTTCATCATGTCCAGGCTGTAGACTGTCGATTAGTTGTCCTAAGGCCATTGTCTGCGATGGACGCTACTCCAAAAACGCGTAGAAATATTTGTAACGCTACACGAAGAGAGCCTTACCAGTGAACAAATCAAAGTACTATAGACTGGCCCTGAAACTCTCCTGATTTAAATTCAATCGAGAATCTGTGGTCAATCTGCAAGGAACGTCTTCGTGAAATAGACATACTAACAAGTGCACTGGGTCATGTTTCATTGGAAAAATACGAAAAAAAGCAAATAATAATGGAATTATTGCACAAGGGTGTATATATATATATATATATATATATATATATATATATATATATATATATATTGATATTTTAGTTCAGGATAAATAACCTAAGTTTCAGCTAAACGGATCTCCCGGGAAGGGAACTTTAGCTTCCCTGAAGATCCGTTTAGGTGAAACCTGGGTAGGTTTACCTGGCTCTTTCGGATTATCTTAGGTTTTGCTCGACTTAGTGTATGGAGCACTTTATGTCGTTGTCTTTTTACTCGGTTTAGGGTTTTTTTTTTCTTTGGACTTGGAGCTTAAAAACTGGACGATTGTTTTCGCCTTGTTTTAATGTTCTTGGTTCTTTCTTTTTTTTATTCCCCACTTTTCCTCGGGTACCGATTTGTTCTACTGCAAGTTAAACTATGCAAGGTTTGAAACGAGTACCACCATATATATATATATATATATATATATATATATATATATATATATATCAGCAGCAGCATCTCCTTGATTTTTGTCATCGCAGGCCTGATCTGAATCCAGAAGCACACTCTTTTCCACCACGGTCTATCAACGGCAGCCACCAGCAATTCTGATATAGTCATTCGTGTCCATTGTTTGACATTGTTCAAACAGTTTTTGCGTTGGCGTCCTCCACTACGTCCACCTTATATGCTGGTCTTGCACAGGTCGTCGTGCCATTTTTATCCGTTTGACAGTGGCGAGAAGAGGTTCCCAGTGTTCCACGAAACTTCAACCATTTTCCACACAAACACATTGGTTTTTTGTTCCCAGTACAAAATGCCAAGGAGTTTTCTCATGCATTTCTTCTCAAACGCTTGGATCCTTATATTTGTATGGATCAGTTATAAAAAAAATTTGGTACAGAAATTAAGGAAATTGAAAATAGAATAGGCAGTATCAAGGGTAGTTTTTCCCAACACCACAAATTGCTACTAAAGTAACTTCCAAAAAATATTCTTATAGGTTGGTTTGTTATATATACCATAGATACCATGCTACCTTTGAAGACCTTGTTTTGAAGCGAATTTTAAGGGGGTCGCATCATACACGAGATATAAAATTATATGTATGTACTGCTACACTATTGATCAAACTATATATCCAATTACTGTCGTCAAAATGTACAGCTGTACTTAAAAATAGCTTAAAAGCTACCCTCCTGCGGAAGGCTTTGATTAGGCCTTCGGCTTTGATCAAGTGACCTTAAGTCTTTGCATATTCTCATAATTGGAAGCTAACATGGCTGCAGTTTCATCTAGGTTTTCATTTTCACGGGATTTTCTTTTCCTTGCTACAGCCTTGACTCTTTTCATTGCAATCAGGTCTTCTGCTACCGGAGATTTGCTTTTGCGAGCCATACTGATGCCGTATGGGATAGACTGCAATGAATTAAATTTTAACTCAAAATTGATAGGTACAATTAAGTATTGCATTCATATTTAAGCTTACCTTTTAAATGTTTGATGATAATTTTTCTGTCGACACTTTATTTAAAGACGATTTGATGTACGTAGGTCCTTACAAAAAATTATTTTTATTTCATGGGTGATTTTCGATGGATTTCGCAATTAATATCGATGTTTCCCCAAATTTATTTCCAAGTTAAAAAAAATGTTATCGTACAAAAAAATTCGTCGCAAAAAATCAAAAATCGCCGAAAACAATGCAAGTAATGAAAACTCGGGGATCTAAAATATCTGAATTGCAGATTCGGATCCGGCCCAAAATGTTTTCAATTTGTTCACGGAGTCGGCCTGATTCCCATATGGTATGGTTTGTTGGACTACGGCCTCTAGAAATAAAACTGAAAATGTGTAACACATAATGTAACATTCGGATTTTTTTTTTTATTATAAAATACAAACATAGCAAATATGCAACTTTTCTATTGTTTGCGTTTATGTTTAACTGTTTCTCATTCGGTTGTTTATAGCAGAATATCAAGGGTCGGCAGCCCCCAGGACACACCCAGCCTGTGAAGGATTTTTGTTCAGTCTGTAAACTTAACCGTAGTAAGAAATTTGCATTTTTTGTCGAACGTGTTAATTATTATCCTGTTCTTCTTGCAGTAAAATAAGGAACCATGTTTAAATAAAATAATATTAACTTTGTTGTTTTTTTTCTTTAAACTTCCATACAAAGGAAACCTTCTGAACAAAGCGCTTTCAGGCTGTGATAATTTACTATAATATGTTTGATAGCATGGCCTTCCTCAGAGATACTGCATAACTGTCTGGCCTGCTCTCTCTAAAAAGTTGCTGACCCCTGCTGTACACGTTTACGCAAAAGTATAGCGTTACTAACTGTTGAAACTTGAATAAAGCATGGAATAATAATAATACAACACGAAATGTACTAAAACAAGAAACACAAAAAACGTGTACACAATATTTACAGTTAGTTTTGGTATATTCTTGGGAAGACAGTTCCTGTAGAATGGGTTGACTTAATCGCAGTCGGGCAGAGTATCTGGATTGGATCTCTTCTTCCTCACCCGTCTTCCCGGTACCAACCATATTTATATGGTCGGTACTCCACTATGTAAATTAGGTGGATCGTACCACAACACTAACGATACTTTTATCATTCTCTTTTACTTTTTGAACTTATTTAACTAGAAGATGGGATAAAGAGACAGAGAAAAAGAGGTTAGTCTATTGTAATTTGGTCTCTCAAAAAAGGCACTCGCATGATACATGAAATACATGATAAAATCACTTTTATAAGTAAGAATTTGGGGGTCACGTCTTACACGAGTATATACGGTAAATATATATATATATATATATATATATATATATATTCTGTTAATCATTTTTCTTTTCTATGTTTTCCTCTGTTACAGCATCTTTCATTATTCACACAGAAAAAAAGTTATATGCAACTATAAAGTTAATAATGCTCTTCAACAATCAATACGTTTATAAGATGTTTAGCTATTTATCGTAAATTAGGGAGGATTTAAATAATCATAATTAATTTATCGAGTCTAGAAGAATCCTCAAAATGAATTAATTATGATTACTCGTGACCCTCTTATTTCTCTCTCTCTCTCTCTCTCTCTCTCTCTCTCTCTATCTATCTATCTATCTATCTATCTATCTATATATAAGTGAACATTGAAGTCAACACTCAGAGGCTACAGGCTGTTTCATGCTGGAATGAATTTGTGAAGAGCTGGTGCTATATCGAGTCTGGTTTGTTACCTCTCCGTCACCGAGACCCCAGGGGTCAAGTGGTTATATCGTAACGGTCTGGGTTCAATTCTCGGTAGTGGATACGCTCTGTTGATGAGTCCCAGTGCTTTCTGTTGAGGTTTCTTTTAGACTGAATGAAGTTTATATATATATATATATATATATATATATATATATATATATATATATATATTCCATCTCAATATAACATTGAGTGGGATTTTCCCCTCTCTTGATCATAAACCTTATCTAGAGTTATTGCCAATTATGTACAGACATTGCTACTCTGACTTCCATATTCAAAGCTCCTTCAAGGACCGAGAACGGTGAATAAATTTAAAAAAACAACAAAAAACAAGGAACAATGGAGAAGAAAACTGGATCAGGATATCACAAACGTAAGAGAGATCATCATCAGAAGTTAGAGCTAAAGAGAACAATTAGAAAAGATCCAACTCAATCTTTAAGACGTGTTATCTTTTAAAATGTACGTGAAATGTATGAGACAGCTTGTTACTCTCGGACGGAAAGTTACAAATTTAGAGAGGGCGATGAGCATCATGAATAAGTTGGAAAATAATCCTGGAAGAGAATATATATATATATATATATATATATTCCATCTCAATATAACATTGAGTGGGATTTTCCCCTCACTGGACGGTAAACCTTATATAGAGTTATTGCCAATTATGTAGTGGACTCGTATTAAGGATATATTACTATTCAGGAAGCACTGAAGATACATTATCATTTAACTTTATTTTAATATTACCCTCAATTTTAACGTCTTCAGGAAACAACTTTATTGCGCAATATAATATGAGAAAAATATTAAATATTAAATAACGCGCATTTTATTTTAATCGATTTTCTTATTTTATTAAAAAATGAAATCTTTCTCACCCTTTCTGTATTTGTCCCATTCGTTGAACTCGAACCTCTTGTCCATGTATTTGACGCCGGCAGCGGCGAACATCATACGCAGGATCTCGGCCCTTCCGCGGCCATTGAAGTAGTACAGAGTGTAGTTAGGCATGACGAGTTCTGCTAAAGTTAGTCGAAGAGAATAAACAGCTCTCTGTTTATCCTGGCAGTGCTAGAATCGTGTGGTTGCCGAATGATAAGACTAGACAGAATTTATAGCCAGTTCTGACTAATGGGGTTTAATTTGGCGCTTCAAACAAGCACTTTACAGGTTCCGCGTCTCCAGACAGCTATTGAATATTCTCTCTCAATAGTACAATGCCTTTTGACTAATAGGAACTCCAAGAGTGCATAAGATTATAATTGTAGTAAAATGCTATTGTTCCTTGGTACGCTTGAAACCAAACTTAGGTCTATGAATTTGTTTTGATTATTATGGTCTGTCCACAAAACAATAGGTTCCAACATTTTAATTGAAGATAATTCTAGTCTAAATACACTTGGGTATATATATATATATATATATATATATATATATATATATATATATATATATATATAAGCAAGTGTAAATGGATATAAATCCGACAGAATGAAGAAATTTTGAAAAAACAAACAAAATCCTTAAATGTAGTTAAAATGAAAAAAATGTCGACGTCTGACGTTTCGGTTTAATAAACCTTTTTCAAGACAATATTCATTAAAAATACAATTCAGTTCAATTTTACAAATACGATGGACATAAAAACACAAGTCTTATTCATTTCAAAATAACTGAAAATTTTAAAATATCAAATTCCGTCTAACATGCGTCGCCCGTCGTCACGATAATGGCGACGCTTTTAGAACAATTCATTTTAAAAATTTTGTGATTATTTTGAAATGAAAATAAAAACTTGTAAAATTTTTATTATTCTAATCAATATCGTATTTGTCATATTGAATTGAATTGTCAATTTTGATGAATATTGTCTTGAAAAAAACGATTAAAATTTCTTTCAGACGTCGACATTTTTTTTTTTTTAACTACATTTAAGGATTTTTGTTTGTTTTGTCAAAATTTCTTCATATATATATATATATATATGTAGTGTAACTGGCCACATGTATTCGAGGATACCTGACTACTAGTGCGGCTAGCCAATCCCTATTGCAGATGATTGCTCAGGCGCAATTGTGTTTGTTCAACACCCACAAGGTCAAGGTGTGCTTTACACAGCAAGTATGCTGCAGTTACAGAAATAGCGTTCTATCTTGCGTGATCAACAATGTGAACAAGTCCAGCACGCTCAAGCTCTCGGCCACAATGACTTGTAACTTCGTGCTAGCACAGCTCTCGACGGCACCCAATTTTACTCACTCACCGTGGGTATAGTGTTCAGGCACTTTCCAAATTTCGTCTCCTCTCAGTCCTTACTGGCAAACGTGTTTTTATAAACAAGGTATTTCCTGCCTAGGAAAAGATTAATCTAACAATTGCGCAATTTTGCTGACACCAGATTTGGACAATTTTGCTGTTACAGCCAATATTTATATATATATATATATATATATATATATATATATATATATATATATAAAAAAAAAAAAGGCTTAGGTCTGATGATTTGGATCGTATTTACGATTCCAATGGAATAAATTATGACCATGGAATATTAGTGTTTAAGCCTTTTTATTATATCCTTACTCTGTCCTGGACATTGAGTTCTACCTGGATTCTTCCTCTTGGAAATTTTTTTTTTTTTGAAAATATACATGTATGGGTATTTTTATATATTTTTTATATATATTTTGTATATGTATGTATATTTTCCACTAATATTATCTATATATATATATATATATATATATATATATATATATATATATAGATAGATAGATAGATAGATAGATAATATTGGTGGTAAATATACACATACATAGGCAAAATATATAAATATATATACGTACATGCATACACATACATATATATTTTACAAAAAGGCTTTTTGAATTTGTAGGTCTGATGAATTTGATCGTATTTACGATTCCAATGGAATAAATTATGACCATGGAATATTAGTGTTTAAGCCTTTTTTTTATATATATATATATATATATATATATATATATATATATATATATATATATATATATATATATATATATAATTATTTATTTAAAAATTATAGCATAAATATGTTATAAAATCACTACAAAAAAAAAAATTTTGTTTCAAAACCTCCGGTGTCTTATCAAGTGATGATATTGAATGTAAAATAAATGGTTTTAAAATTTTCAAATTTATTAACAATCATTCGCAGGGGTAAAACGTTGTTACAAATGCTAAAATGACCAATCAAAATACAAGTATAGAAAAATTCAAAAAACTTGACAACGAAGTCAGGTTATAATAGCTATTCAGATCTTTAAAATAGGGGTTATAAGAATTTAACCAATAATTATTAAATTATATGATAAAATTTGATATTAAAATTAAAAGTAAAAATTACCAATTTTAAAATTCAAATTTAATCTCTGTTAATTTTAAAATTATAAAATTACTGAGGAGAAAAGAAAAAATACATATGTTATTCAATTTATTTCTTCATTGAAATTACGTTAGAATAGACGCTAATATGTCATCCGGTCCTCTGACAATATGTATACATTTTAATCCCAAGTGTGTGAATGGGGTCCTAAACACACGCGTAAAACAATACAAACACACTCAGATTATAATACGTAAGCACCCAGACATATTTAGATATATACACACACAAAAAAGTGACGAGACAGGAAAATATCTCCAAGGCCCTTTATATATATATATATATATATATATATATATATATATAAAAAAAAAAAAACGAACACATACATACATACATACATACATAATTAAATGTGCATGCATTATTTTCCATACACATCTATACAAAATCCATATACTTGGTAAGGTATATATATATATATATATATATATATATATATATATATATATATAATATATTTATGATGAAATTTAAAACGAAGATTATTTAATAAAGTAAATGCAAAAAAAAATAAATAATTTCTAATGAGCCAGATACTACCTAGGTTTTACCATATGGATATTCAATCAATATTACCGGTTTTATAATTTTAACAAAAACACTGTATTGATAAATTTATTTCTAATATATATATATATATATATATATATATATATATATATATATATATATAAATAAAAATATGGATATAGATCCGACAGTATGAAGAAAAATATATTGAAAAATAAAAAATCCGAATATGCAAATATGCTGTTTTAATGTTATTTCAAAATCGACGTTTCATAACGTTATTATCTAGTAAACCTTCTTCATTATATTGTTATTAAAACATAATCTTTTGATTTTCAATTTAAAAGCGAGATATTCGCCTTTGTAATTTAAACATTTTGCTTTATTTGTACACACAATAAATCTAAAATAATTTCGATTTTGCTTTTTGTGAAAAATTTTAAATTGTATTCATAATAAAAATATACTTAGACGGATTTATAAGATATAACAATATCTATCACATATTCGGTGAATACTAGACCCGGCTTTTTTAATATTTTTTACCTTTTCTATATATTAATGCTCGACAAACGTATTTTTTTTATTAAAATAAAATTATTTTTCATTTTTCATTTAAAATATAAAATATTTTATGAATACGTTTAAACAACATCGCCCACGTGACGCCGACGTGATCATATTGTGAAACGGAACGCTGATCTTGAAAAATTTCAGTTATTCTGTTTTGTTTAGTCTTATTCTTATGTCCATCATCTTTTCATGTTGACTTGAATATCGTCCAATGTTAATTATGTTTTAATAACTATGTCCTGAAGAAGGTCTACTAGACCGAAGCGTCTGACGTCGACACTAAAATAACATTAAAACAGCATATTTGGATTTTTGTTTTTCCATATATTTTTCTTCATATATATATATATATATATATATATATATATATAACTGATAAGCATTTGTTGCTTTTTGGAAATATTAAAAAATATGTATATATATTTTTATTTAAAAGTCCGACAATTGTTTAAAGACAATTTTATGTTTAACATTCTTTTTATTGATACAAATATTTAAGTAAATGCCCTTTATTAAATAACATTTTTTTTTATTAATGTTCTTGTCTAATTTTTTTAACAAAAAATATTCGTCCTCCGACAGCTTTCAAACCTGTATCCTATACGGAACCGTCATTTAGTTTGACGTTTTTTTTTTCGATTTTTTACAGAGGAGCGTTCCAAATAGTTAGGTCGAATTTATATGTATTTAAAACTTCAATCTTCCATGTATTCTCACGTACATTCATAAATCTGTTCATGGCGTATCAAAAATATAATGCAAAAAAACGTCACATATTATAACCAATGGACAAAGTCCGACAATAATTTATTTTTTTTTTTTTATATATATATATATATATATATATATATATATATATATATATATATATATATATATATATATTACAGGGTGACCCCCAAAAAAAAAAATTTTTAACAAACCAATAAAACCAAACCCATGGAAGAAAAATAATTTTTTACAGTTTTTTATTTTTTTTAAAACATGACATTTAAGAAAAATAATGATGGAATTTTCATTTTTAAAATTTATTCCTGTAGATGGCGTATCTCCTATATACTAATATATTCTTGAAATCTATATTTGAGATTCCTCCTTGACTGCTGCAATATCTCAGCTGGGATACTATAAATTTTATTTGAATTTTAAATGGCGCAATGTTTTATAATTTGAAATTTTTTCACTGTCTTTATAGTGTTGCCATTTGCTTATGTTGTAAAATAATAATTTTAAAAAAAATTTTTTTTTTTGTATATATATATATATATATATATATATATATATATATTTATTGTTTATTTTATATTAACCTTTATTTAATTTTCAATATATTTAATTATTTATATAATAAAAATTTTTTTTTTTTTTTTCTTTGGGGACATTAAAAAAATACAAAAATACTATTTTTTCATTTTTAAATTTTTTTATTCTGAGTTGGTTTAAATATTTCTGTTATTAAATTTATTTTTTTAATATAATTTTATGTGTGTCAGTGTTTTGACTAAGTTGTACTATTTTATATAGCAATTAAACGACATCATCAGAAGAGGTTTGG